AGAGAGGGGCAAGCTTGAGAGTTGAGAGACGGCTCAAGCTTGCGAACCTGAACTGAATAGCAGGTGATGGAAACTGAAAGATATGGGTTTTGATTTTTTGAACAATTTGAAATGATATGCCGATATGGGTTTTGAACTTTTGATTCTTATAGACAGTTCTGAAATATATGGGTTTTGAACTTCTGGTTCTTGTAGATTTTATAGCTTACAGTTGCAGAGAGAAACAGGGCAAGTTCAGAGTTGAGAGAATAGAGATGGAGGCGATTGGGGAGAGCCGCTGAAATGATTTGCCCTAAAAATATAATATAATATTATATATATATATATATATATATATATATATATATATATATATATATTACGGTTCCGGTTCCAGAACCGAACTATGAGACCAGAACAACAACCGAACCGAAACTCAACGGTTCCTCATTTTAGGAACCGGAATTCCGGTTCTCACAGTTCCGGTTCCGATTCTACGGTTCTTTTGTACACCAATAACATATATAGCATAAGTGTGGAAGGTAAAGTATGTTCCGACGGAGCCCGCAAACGAGTTGTGGATAGGGCTGTAAGGCACCGGAATCACCAACTCGTGAAGAGGCTGCACAGAAGGCCATTGACGTCGTTCTGCTTCTCCAATAACTATAGTCAATTATTTTGAGAGAGATGACCAAGTCTCTATAGTTTTTCCTTTGCTTCTCTACTCTCCTTATTTTTACTTTTACTATTTATTTATTTTTGTTTTGTGATTGTTGGATGCTTGTTTAACTGCGATTAAATTTACTTAAAATTAAATTAATTTAAAAGTAAAAAAATGTGCAACTGGTCAAATTACTTTTACTTTTTAAAAAAAATTAAAATAATTTAAAGAGAGAAAGAGTAAAATAAGAAAAAAAATAAAGAGAATTTTAAAAACTAAAATGATTTTAGGAAGAAATTATATACAGATTTTGATACATATGTGTAATGAAATTACAAAAATTACCACATATAATATAGTGAGCAGAGCATGTGCCCCCCTCTAGCATACACGGGCTCCACCCGTGCTTCCTTGTTAAGTAATGGCCTTACTAAGTAGTGTTGCCATGGTGCTCATAGATCAGCATTATTGCTTATATAAATTGAAAGTATATATGCAAGTAATACAATTCTAAAACGGGCTTATTAATCAATCCAAAAATAAAGATGTTTTAGTTAAGAATAATGATGGAGAATTCGAAAGTGACTAATTTTATGTCAACGCATGTGACTAATGTCAACCCTCCACTCACATAAATGGTCGAAATTGTCCAACTCCAAACTACAAATCATTATTCTTTAATTATACCATTGCATTCACAATTTAAATATCATCCACATCTAGAAACACGAAAAAAAAAAATACAAACAATAGTAGGAAAATTTTAAACAGCAAGAATATCAAATTGTCATAGTCTTTACAACAAAACGAACTTTGTAGCAGGCATTCTAACCCTTCAACAAAACCAAGCTGTTGACATGGGCATGGTAGTAGTTCTTAAAGTGACTGTCATTTTTTCCCATCGTAAATGAAGAAACTTCTCTCGTCTTGATATTACAAACAATGTAAGTTCTTGACGGATCTGAAACACGGATGACCAACTCTCCATTTTTAAACCAGATAATAGGAGCCGAATAACATCCTAAAGAACAATTCCTGAGCCGAAGCACGCCACTTTGAGCTGTCAAGTCAATGTTATGAAGTCTTGTCCACTCTCCTCCGTTTAATTCTGTCAACACCCACACCTCCCACAACATCTTGTTTCCAACCATCAAAGCTAGAAAGCTTTCCCTCACTACAAAAGTACCCTTTTTTTCATGGAAGACGTTCGGAAGTGGAAGTTGTTGCAGTATTTCAGCCTCGACATCCAAAGCTAGAAGATAACTAGAAGGTCCAAAATCAGGGGTCCAATAAAGATATCCACCGGAGAATAATGGTTCGGATTTAAATACATACAGATCAGTATATGGAATATGTTTAGTATCAATCCGTCTCCAAGTAGTTTCATTCCCCACAGTTAATATCACACACATTAAATCATGGCCATCATATTCATGGAAGACGTGGACAACTTTGTATCTCCTGATCGAATGATCGTATGCTAGAGCAGAAAGACCTTCTTCTTTAATAGGTTCAAATAAAGGAGGGAGGGTCAGTGTTTGGTTGGTAATAAGATTTGCAACACAGTATAGAAGGTCATTCCTGTCATGACGGAACAAAACTAAGCCATCACAAGAAGCACAAATAGGATTCGAGAACTCAAATCTTAATTCTGTTATCCGAACATCGCAATTGTTTATGATCTCCACAAAGTGAATCACTTCTGGATGATCCCAGGGTTGGATGAGGAGGCCATTAGTTGATTTTTGAAGGTGTGCGTTCACGAATTCGGGGCTGTTGATAACATTATGCCACTCTCGACAAACGTATCTCATCGCATTGTGCAGAATATCAGCCGGAAGCAAAACCAAAATGTTGAATATAATCCCTTCAGGAAGAAAAGGTATGTTGCTTCTCATTTTTTTTCTACTTGAACAAGCAATAAATAAAATAAAATCATGATTCAAGGAAAAATCAATCCAATCCCTAATATGAAATTCACAAGACTACAGAATTAAAAAAAAAAAGTAAAAATAAACGCACAAAACAGTAACAGACGTACCATTTTACAAGTAGCAACGCATAAGAAATACGCAGTAAAATCTCTGTAAATTGATGGGAATCCAAGACGTAGATTGATTACTTAATTACTTATACAATTTTCATTCACTTTACTTGGAAATTTTACAAAAGAATGTGGCATAAAATTCTTAATTTACAACATCGTTCAGATTTTTCTTTCCTATTCGGTGCACGTGGCTCCTGCTGTTGCCAAGGAGATTGTTTCCATACATCAAATGAGTCACTATAAAACAATCTTACCTTGATTTGCAATGACAAACCATTATAAAATTAAATTAAATAAGCCGATGGAGAACAATACTATATCCCAAAAAAAAAAATTATTTACTTTTTTAAGTAAGAAGTTTAGCCGGGAAGAAAAAAAAAAAAAAAAAAGTTCGATCGCTCAAACAATGTCAAACATAAAAAATTACCATATATGACAGCATATAAGAAAGGATCATATAATTATGCTAATTTTTTACTTTTGTTGAAATTATTTAGTCAGTTGGAGCAACAATTATGAATGAGTTAAATATAAGTGGCTTGGCAAGTGTTATATTATTCGTTGGATTGTTACTTATATTCAAGAGTTGGTGTTCAATCAGTCAACTGGAACCGATTTGGCATGAGAGCCCACCAGTGACCACAAAGGTGCACGTACACGAGTGCAATCTCTTTATTTGTCATGGTGGCGCCACTTGTGTTTAATGACAAATAATTATCATAACAGTAATAAAATAGTTACCAGTTATGTTGATAGCAGCCCTCAATAGGTAAACTTTTTTGTTTTTTTTCCCTTGGAGAATGTATATCGGCCCCTTTTAGAGGGGGTTTGGTGCTAAAAATAATTAAAAAATGAGACAAACAAAATGAAATAATGACAATACGACAGTATATAAGAAAGGAGCATATCATTATACTAATTTTTACTTTGTTTGCATTATTTAGTGAGATGGAGAAACAATTATGAATTTACTAAAATGTCAAAATATGTTTTGAATTTTATTTCCCATAATAGAGGGAACTTATTTTCAAATTCATGCATTTTTGTTAAAGCGCGTTTTTAAACTGAGTTCAATACGAAAATTTGAGCAGCATGAATACAATACGAGATATTGACACTACACAACATAGATACTATCAAATTCTAAAAACCTATAAAGGCTGCTTAAATTCAGTGTAGATCCAATTAATATAAATATAAATTTTCTTTAATAAATCTATTTAGTAAGACTATTATAAAATTTTAATTATTTAATTTTTTTTGTACTAAAGTTATACAATTTAGAAGATGAAACTATGTGAAATCAAAATTATATATATTACATTCGGTATCATATTACTCTCATATCTCGTTATTATAGTTATATTTTTGTTCATTACATAAGACAAAGTGTTTAATGTCATTTAAAAAAAAAAAAATGTTTGTCACTTTAATATATGTTCATAATATTGTCTCCAAAAAATAAGATAAAGTGTAGGATGTGCTGATCAAGAGTCCTAAATACATTGACTAGTGTTCAATATATGTGAATTGGTGAACAAAATTCAAAAAAAGAAAAAGATAAAAAAAGCCATGGAGGCTGTCAAAGAGAAAGTCGGACTTGGCAAAAACTCGCAAATGGGTAGCAACCAAATGTCCGAAATAATATAATTTAATTTTAAATTTTTTTGACACAGTCATTTTTCTTTCTTATAAGTGAACACCAACTTTGGAAATATGAAAGTAACAATAAATGATCGTTTGATTGCCTTTTTGAGAATCTCGGTGCTGATGGCCTTACTAAGTAGAAACATGAAAAGACAATCATACGAAAATGTTTAACAGCAAGAATATAAGTCACATAAAATGGGAGCGAGAGTGAATTCGAGAGCGGGAGCATGAGCGTGAGCGTGAGAGCGACAGAATTAAATCATAAGTAGTGAGAATTTGAACGAGAGCGTACGCGGACCGTGAGAGCGGGAGCGCGCTCGGAACGTAAGAGCGACACCTATTGAAAAGGATTATGTGACTTAGGCATCCAACAAAACAAACTTGTAATAGGCAGACTAACCCTTATATCTTGACGTTGATGAGAAACATAAAACCCTTTAAATAGGACAACTAACATACCTTTAGCGAAACCAAGCTGTTGACATGGGCACGGTAGGTGGTGTTACAATCTCTATCATTTTCCTCCAATGTAAATGTAGAAACTTTTCTCGTCTTGAGGTTGTAAGCAATGTAAGTTTTGGACGGATTTGGAAAACGAAAGATCGCCACCTCTCCGTTTTTCAACCAGACAAGAGGAAACAAATGACCTCTCAAACAAAAATTCTAGGGATCGAGCACTTCATTAAGCATGACAGTGTGACCAGATAAGTCTATGTTATAAAGCCTTGTCCACTCCGACCCTTTGTTTAGTTCTGTCAACGCCCAAACCTCGCACAAAAAATACTTTCGAACCATGAAAGCAAGAAAGCTTTCCTTCACTATAAAATAACCCCCTTTCCCAATGAACGATTTCGGATTCGGAAGCCTGTGCATTTTCTCAGACTCAACATCCAGAGCTAGAAGATAACTACACGAAACTCGAGAACCGGGAGTCCAATAAAGATACCCTCCGGCAAATAGTGTAGAGTGAGTTTCGGAGAAGTAGAGATCAGTATTCGGAATAAGTTTAGTATCAATCAGTGTCCATGGAGTTTCAGCACCCACAGTCAATATCGCGTACTTGAATTCGAGTGATTTGACAGGGAAGACACGGACAACTTTGTATTTCCTGCTGGAATGAGCATACACTAAAGTAGAAAGAGTGGACGAACATCGAATAGGTTCGAATAATGGAGGGCGGGTCAGTATTTGGTTGGTGACAAGATTTGCAACACAGAACAGAAGGTCATTGTTGTCGTGCCGGAACAAAACCAAGCCATCGCAAGTAGAACAAATGGGATTGGAGAAGCCATAAGTCGAGTTTTCCCATTTTCCGTGGACGACAATGTCGACAACGATGGCATACTCAACCACTCTTCTCTTCACCTTTTTCTGATACTGAAAATTGAATTGTGTCATATCTTTCAGTCACTGGGATTATCTTTTTATAATTGTTGGATTTTTGTAGATGACAAAGTAATTTGAAATTCAAAATCATATATTGTTGAAGGAGGCGCCAAAATAGTACTCACAAAAAAAGGAAAGAAAATATATTTCCTTTTCATTTTCGAAAAAACATAATATTTATTAGTAGAAATTTTCTTTCCTTTTTAAAATGAGAAGTTTAACCGCTCAAACAATGCCAAACATAAATAATGAACATATGACAGCATATAAGAAAGAATCATATAAGTATATTAATTTTTACTCTTTTTAAATAAAAAATTATTTAGTCAGGTCAAGTTATGTTTTGAATTTTGTTTGTCAAATTAAAGGAACTTTTGTAGCACAAGTTATTTTTCTGTCTTGCACTGTATAGTTCAATGCAAAGTAGTCGTTGTGATAAATTAAGAAAAGATTAGAAAATTTGTGACCATTTTTTTTTATGTAAATTGTTAGAGAAATTATTACATAGTTCGGGACCATATAATCCTGAAGCAACTTAAACAATCATAAGATGTCATGTAATCAAATTTTTCAACTTTATTCAACCTTTTTATTACATGGCATTTTGATTGGCGGGATCTCGTGATCCCGAACCATGTAATAATTTCTCCCATGGCAACCTGCAAAAGAGAATTAGCGGGTCTCAAATGCATAAGAGGCTAGCCATCACTTCAGTGACGGAGCCAACTTGGGCCCGGGGGGACGTACCCCCCACCCCGCGGGCCCAAGCTGGCCATTGAAATTATTATTATTATTATTATTATTATAAATTTATAAAATATTACTTTGTGTCCCTCCTAAAATTTAATTTTTGTCAAAAATACCCTTAGAAATGAAATTTTTTCACATATATAGGTATATAATTTGTAAATTACTACTTTGTGCCCCCCCTAAAACTAAATCTTGGCTCTGTCCCAGAATCACCCTCTAAAATTTCTCTCTCAATTATCACACATTTTATATTTATGTAAATATAATATGTGTGTGTGTGTGTGTGTGAATTCTATAAAGTAGATCGGATTTAAATTTTTTATAGCATATGTCTAAATGAGATAGCCCAACTAAAGGAAATGGCTTTATAAGCTGTTTGTATTTGTTTTTCCGGATATTTTAGGCGTTGGCTTTTTTTTTTTTTCAAAAGGCTAAACGACTAAAATATTTGAGGAATAAGTACATATAATTAGGGATGGCAATGGGGCGGTTTGGGGCGGGTTTCTCATTCCCCATCCCCGCCCCCGTTTAATTTTGATGCCCCCAAAACCGCCCCATAACCGATTAATTTTTTGCCTCTAATCCCCGCCCCCGCCCCCGCCCCCACCCCCGCCCCATCACCCGCCCCATAACTGATTATATTTTTATTTAAACACAATCATAGCACATATACACATATATATACATATATATATATATATAGAAGTGTTAGGTGTAGGGTTTCCAATATATATATAGAGAGAGAGAGAGTGAAGGTTAATTTGGTAAATATATTAACATGATAGGATAAATTAATAATTTAAAATATTAAACGAGGCGGTTATGGGGCAGGTATGGGGCAAGAATCTTAGTCCCCCGCCCCCACCCCGCAACCGGCCGGTTTTTTTTTTTTAATCCCCATCCCCACCCCATTTAAGTAAACGGTTCTCCAAACCCGCTTTAATTTGGCAGGGGCGAGGCGGTTCCCCACTGGATTGGGGATTTTTACCACCCCTATACATATTGGACCTTCGGCCATTACAAGCCCAACCTAGTGAGGGCAAAAGGAGCCCAATGAAGGGAACAAGGGACAAGCCCAATCAGAAATCAAAACTAACAACTGCAATTTACGGTTTGATTAGATACGAATGGTGGGTATAAGTGTATATTCAGTAGCAATAAGTTTGGAGGTCTCGGAGGAAAGAGTCGGGTTGTTGATTGAGCAAAGAGAGTAGACATGAAGAAGAGAAAGGTACGTGGTTGGTTGTGTCTTGGAAATTTGCTTTGTTGTTGAGTAATTACTTGAATCCTATGAATAGAATAGAAACACATGATTCACATAGCTGACTCCAAATAATTGAAAAAAAAAAAAAAAAGGGGGGGGGGTGTTGATTGTGAATTACGATGCAAGACTACTATTTTATTCGGTTTGTTATTAAATGGGATACTAATAATAAAATTAATCATCCTGAGTGGAAAGGAAAATTCAATAATTTACACAAAAGGCTGAAGTGCATAGTGATGGATCTACATTGAAGGTAGTGGGACAATTACCCCACTTAATTTTTTTTTAAATTAGTAATCTACCTTTATAATTTGTTCATTTTCAGTAACATACCCATAAAATATTACATTTACCCCCAAAATTCTTCCCCGCCCCCCATCTTACATCCTGACTCCGTCCCTGAAAATACAGCTACTTATATACTCTCCTTGCTCTATAAAAAAAAGAAAACCATACATTACTTCATTTTAAGTCCATTCATTTAAAATTTAGTTTGAGCTTCTCATTAACTAATTGTAGTGGATGGAAATGCAAGTATTCACATTTCACACCCCATTTTCATCACACACTCCCCTTCGTAGTTAGTGTATTTTTAGAAGGTAATTATGTGATTTTGTTTATATCATCGCAAAAATTAATAAAATTAATCATCTCTAGCGCACATGAATGGTGGTTGTTTTCATCTATCATTGTCAAGATGTTATTTAGGTCTTGTTTGACAAGCGATACGATTGCGTTTTCAAATCATGTTTGGGACAGACTATTGTAATTTGAAAACTTGGAATAGCATTAAAATGGATCAAACTCATATTACCAAATTGATTATATTAATCTGTTTTGACACTGTAGCAGAGCAAACACGGTTCAAATTAAAAACAAACTTATATCAATAAACTGTGGCTGAGGCATCACATATATAATAACCCAAAATTTGAGGCCTCTCGTTTCTCTCTCTCCTTGCAGCTGCTCTGTGGTGATTCAAAGGGCGAATCGACTAAAACCCTTGCGCCACCACGGAACGAAGGAAAAAGCCGGCAGCGGCGACGCAAGGGTGTGGTCGGTGAAGTTGCTTCTTAGTTGGTCCTCACACTAATGGAGCTTCTAGTTCTTGCCAATGTTCATGTTGTTGATGCTTCTGGGTTTGGGTAATCAAGGAATCACGGTTTATTTATTTAATTACCGGAGCAACGGGTGAACTTGGTTATTTATTGAATTACCACTGACATCATCCAATACAAATCATTATCCAAACAGCAATTACTTTGTTCAGTATTTTATGGACAAAATTGTATATCAACAATGATAAGTAAATTCCCTTAACTTTATTTATTCAATTACCAATATATTTAATTTGTGATAAATAATACCATATACTTTGTTTGTGGTCCCCCGGACCAATTTTATTTTTTATTTTATTTTTATTTTTTGGTGCTACCTGCAACATTAAGAAAGTAAATCAATTTGTCCAATAATTTTTTTTCCCTGAACTGCAGCCATTAACATTTCAGGTGGTATTTTTTTTTTTTTTGTTAAAAGGGTAAGCTTTAAAAAAGAGAAAATATGAACAATAGAGTCAATTGAACCAAGCCCAGGAACAAGCTCCAAGGCAAGCACCAAAGACTAAACCAAGCAAACACAGAACAGTTACTACATACAAGTGGGACATACAAAACCAACCAAAAGACCTTGCAGCTCATTGTGAGCTACAAGCACCTGTACTGAGATCAGATCCATATCATATTAGAAACCATGATTGACCAGACGCAAATGAACATCCTTACAAGAAGAGTTGCTGCATTGCCTCCACGGAATTGATTTTGCATAACTCAACACTGTTTCTTAACTTGAGTGAGGCAAACCTTGCTTTGATACACCCTTTGATGAGATGAATAATATGAAGAACAGAAGCTGTTTTGTTCCTGAAAGCTCTTGAATTCCTTTCCTGCCATATGTAGTAGATGGTATATGAGAGAAGTAACTTATGGGTAATGAAATGCTCCTGAGTCCACGCTGAAGAGCACCAAGCTATAAGATCCTTCCAATTGTCTGGCTTGATGTAGAACCCTGCTGCGTGCTGAACAAAATCCCACACAATGCTGCTGAATTGGCATTTGAAGAAAATGTGGTCCACTGATTCACTCTCTGCAAGACATAAGTAGCAAGCATTTGTATAATGTTTCTTTAGCATAGGTTTGGTATCCAATGTTGCCAATCTTTCCTTAAGAGCCATCCATGCAATAAATCCATGTTTGGGAATATGGTATTTGAACCATATAAGATTTTCCCAAGCAAAAACCAGAGAGGGAGGGGAGAAATACACCATAGTAAGCATGTGTGAATAATTAAATGCTGAACTTGGCAACCAGTGAACTTGATCAATCTCATTTGATGGAGAGGGGATACTTTGAAATTGTAGGGCAAATTCTTGTGAATGGAAAAAAGGTACATGCTGAAAAGAGCTTGGAATGACCCACTGATTGTTAGAAATTAGGCTATCAACTTTGACTTGAGAGTCCAGTTGAAGAATTTCCACATCTGTAAGCCCAAGTTGTGTTGCAATAAGACCATTTGGCAGCCAAAAATCCAACCATAAACTAGTAGAATCCCCTACTCCAACTCTGTGTCTAACTAAGTCCCTAGCCATATCCCTCAGCTTTAGAAGTCGTCTCCAAAATCCTGAACTGGAGAATGAAGCTTTGACAGTCCAAATGGTTTTGGCCTTGATAAAGTACCTGAAAGTCCAGGCAACCCAAAGACTTTCTTTTCTTGAGCAGAGTCTCCATAGGTGCTTCAAGCTTGACACTCTATTAGTAAGTTCAAGTGAAGGAAATCCAAGACCCCCAAAATTCTTTGGCCTACAAATAGCAGTCCAAGCCACTTTAGCTCCAGTGTTTTTAAGGTCAGTTCCAGACCAGAAAAAATTCCTTAGAATTTGGTTGATTTGGTCAATGACTTTCATGGGGGGAACAAATGCTTGTGTCCAGTAGGCTTGAATGGA